GGGTATAAATGACATTTGTTGTCGTTGTCATGTGCTTTCAGTCGAGTCTGACTCAGAAGCAGCCGTACAGGCTGGAACGGTGCTATCCCATAGGGCTTCCAAGGCTGTGGTCTTTATAGAACCTGGCTGCCACATGTTTCTTCTGCAGAATGGCTGGTAGGTTTGAATCACCAAGCTCTTGGTTGATAGCAACTGAGAATTTAAGCAGTGTGCCACTAGGGCTCAGTTGTAAAATGAGTTGTTGTTGTTGTTGTTGTTGTTGAGTGCCGCTGACTTGGTTCCAACTCATAGCGACCCTGAATAGGCTTTCTCAGACATTCAATCTTTTGTGGGATCACAAAGCCTCATCTTTCTCCCACGGGGCAGCTGGTGGGCTTGAACTGACCTTGGGGTTCACAGTCCAGTGCTTATTGTATGGAGCCTTGTATAATAATTGTTGTTGCTAAGTGCTGACTCATAGTGACCCAGTATAGGGTTTCCAAGAAGTGGTTGATGGGTTTGAACCACTAACCTTGTGGTTAGCAGTCCAGTACTTATCCTTTAGCGCCACACCAGGACTCCTGTATGACTGTTGTTGTTAAGTGCCATCAAGTCAGTTCTGACTCAATAGCCACCCTTCATAGGGATTCCAAGGAGCGGCCTGTTGTTGTTATTAAGTGGCATCGAGTTGGTTCTGACCCACAACAACCTTGTATAGGATTTCCAAGGAGAAGCTGGTGAGCTTGAACCGCTGACCTTGTGGTTCAAACCAACTTTGCAATCCAGTGCATTAACCTACAGTGCTACACCAGGACTCCAAAGGAGTGGCTGGTCCTCCTTCAATAGACATGGTTAAGCAGCTTGCTCAACAATAGGCCATTATGTCACCAAGAGCTGTTTGGCTTGGAAAAGTGAAAGTTCTGGAGAAAAGGTGGGCAGACGATTTGAGTGGATTCTTTGTGGAAGAGTAATCAGCACTAAGGCCCCCAAAGGATGGAAGTTACAAAGAAAACATCCGAAAATGAGACCAATTTTTCTGGATATAATGAAATGTAATGCTGGAAAAGGAATTCAAGAGAAGCAGACTGCATTTGGAGTCCTGGTGTGGCCCTGTGGGTTAATACAAGGTCCATTTGAGCCGTAAGGTTGGTGGTTCAAGTTCACCAGATGCTCCTTGGAAACCCTATACAGGGTCATAAGGGTCGGAATTGACTTGATGCCAACTGCATTTGATGTCATATTCCACTATTTTCTTCCCCCTCTGTCTCCTTCTAAAGGGCCTTCATATTCCGGTGCATTTATTTCAGTAAAACATTTAAAGTCCTGCACTGTAACATACAGTAGCCCCTAGCTATATACATCTAATTAAATTTATTTTTTAAAAAATGCAGTTCCTTGCCAGCTCAGTAACCCCAAGTGGCCAGCTGAGGTCCAAACAGGGGCTGCAAGAAGGAAAAATCTGAGACCTTGATCTTGAAGCAGCACAGCCTAGCCAAGGCAAGCAAATAAATCTAAAATTGCTTACAAACAGCTAACAACTTATAGAGTTTTCCAGTAAATCCCAGTTGGCTTAAAAGAGCTGAACTACATTTGGGGATGTTAAGGCAGGTCAGATCCTGACTTGAATGAAAACCAAGTTTGTCTACACTTGTTTGCTCAACATGAGGCCACAACCTGGGTATCCGGATAAAAATGCAGACCCCTGGGGTCCTCCCCCCAACCCCCAACCCCGCCCCTACCCCGCTCTGTGGGCGGGGCCTGTGAACCTACCGATTCAACAAACTCCCAAGCAAGGTCGGTTAGAACCGTATGGTTAATGGTTTGAACTCGCCAGCCGCTCCTCCGAAACTCTATAAAGGGTAGCTATGGGTCGGAACCAATTCAACAGCACTTGACAACAATTAGGTCCGTCCAGTGATCCTTTTCTGCTCACTAAATGGGGCTTAAAGGGGCCCTGGTGGCACAGTGGTTGTGTGTTGGTCAAGGTCGCAGTTCGAACCTGACAGCCGCTCCTCAGGAGCAAGATGAGGCTGTCTGCTTCGGTAAAGACTTGGAAACCCTCAGGAGTTCTACTCTGTTCAACAGGGTCGCTGAATCGGAATCGACCAGATGGCACTGGGGTGGGATTTGTAAACGAGGCTTGAGAATCACTGGCTCTTCATTCCTCTTTCCCCGCCTTCCCCTCGGGTGAGCCTCTCAGAGCCTCAGTTTCCCCGATGGTAAATAGGGATCCCTCCCCTCCCCAGGCCCGCCGCACGCGTCAGCCGCCTGGCTCACAGTAGCGCTGCGGAGACGCTGCCGGCCGGCCCGCCTACCCTCGCAGATCTGCTCCCACAGGTTCTTGCCCAGCGACTCCGCGACATGCCCCGGAGAAATGGGTAGTTCAGGAGACACGGGAGACACGGTAGGCACCGGAGTCCTGGTGGTGGCGGACGACTCGATAGAGTCGCCTGATTCCTCGCGTGGACGCATGCTGCTAGAGTCTAGTGGCAGCTCCGCCAAGGCTGCCGTTTCCACAGCAACTGGGAACGCCACGCGGGCACGACCCGGAAGAAGCCGGAAATCACGGGGCTGGATCAGCGACTCGAGATTGGCTTCCGGGTCGCGGCCGTGCGGGCTCTCACGTGGAGACGGGGAGGTCTACCCGACCGGTGAGTGTGAGGGGCGCGACTCAGGGCGGAGCGGTGCGGGGCCTGGGGGTTTACGCGGCCAAGGCCAGAAGAAAAGCGGGTGACTTGCGCCCCCAAAGTCCCCCACTTCCTGAGCCCGCCGCCTCCCGGAAGCCCTCCCAGTCTGGCGCCCGGCCCCGACCGAATTGCAACCTGTGTGTTTTTGCAGACGCTCGGGCTCGGCGGAGCCTGCAGGGACTCATCGCTGCCGGGCTCCCCTGCTTCCAGCTCGCCAACCTGCGGCGGGAGTGAGCTGTAGAAGCCTTGGTGCAGAGCGTCGGCCTGGGTTCGAATCCCAGTTTTGCCACTCGCCAGCTTGGGGACTTCGGGCAAATCAATGAAAAAGCCCCAGCAATAGGCCAAGTGTGTGAGATGAGGTATTCACAATCACCGTCCCGAGGTTACATGAGAACTTAAGGAGCTTTTGGAGAGTTTACGCTTGCATAATGCACGTTTCCAATTTCCCACCGCCCCACAAAAAGGTTAATGCATTTAGGGTAATGAGGTTGAGGAGGGTCTGCTCCACTGTTCTGCAAGGATCAAATGGACCAACAGACTCCCTGTGGCCTCTTTGTCCTCCCAGACCCCTTGGCCTCCAAGATGCAAACTCAGTTTCCTTTGCAAACCCCTTTCCCCCTGCCCACACAGTTGTAATGTCTGTAGCACCTTCTGTTAGTGGCTTAATTACCATTTAGTGATTACTAAATTTATAACTTTAGGCCAGTCCCCAGCAAACCCCTCCGACCCACCTGATAGTGTCACTTGCATGACTGTCCAAAGCTGCGTAGTTCTGCACCTATGCCCCTCACTGGGTTTTTGTCTCAGGGCTTAGCGTCACTATTCTGCCAGTTTTGAGAACTTTGTTATTCAGGAACGTTCCTGACCACTGTCAGGCTGGGTTTGATGTACTGCACTAAACACCCTGATGGAAACAATTATTGTTAGGTACAGCCCAGTTACTTCTGACTCAGTGACTCTATGCACATGGAATGATACACTGTCCACCCCTATGCCATCCTCACTGTTACGTTTGAGCCCATTGTTGCTGCCCTTGTGTCAGGCCATCTCACTGGGATTGTGTACACTTTTATCGTCTGTATCACTTGTTAAAAGATTAAAGTTGTCAAGGACTTCATTCTTCTTGGATCAACTATCAACACTCATGGAAGCAGCAGTCAAGAAATCAAACAGTGTATTGCATAAGGCAAATCTGCTGCACAAGACCATTTTAAAGTGTTGAAGAGGAAACATGTCAGCCTGAGGACTAAGGTGCACCTGACCCAAGCCATGGTACTTTCAGTAACTTCATATGCATGTGAAAGCTGGACAGTGAATAAGGAAGACCATAGAAAAATTGATGCTTTTGAGTTATGGTG